AATTCAGCATTAATTATAATAAACAACATTTAACAAAGTATAAAAAATGAACACACATTTAATAGCAAACAAATTATATCAACACAATGTCTGTATTTTTAATAATTTAAAAACTCATATATATAATACATTTCTTTATTATAATTTATAGTCTACTAATTAAATTATGCAAAGAATAAGATAAGAAAATGTGAAAATAATTATAAATAATCAGAACACTCCGATAAAATAATCAATAAATCATTATTCAGAATTAGTGGTATGGGTTCACTTTAAATAAAACATGCAAAACTGAAGTAATATTACAAATCGCCACACATTTAAAGAAGAAAAACTCTTAGAGGATCGATTTCTTAAAAACAAAAATCAGTTAACAGTCAGAACATATCGTTTGTGAATATGATGTCTGCTATGCAGAATGTAAAAGTTTACCATATAATCAATTTTTTTTCCCCTTTATTCAGTTCCATCACACAAAGGGACAATGCAAACAGGAAAACGTTGCACATCTCAAAGCATGCAAAACAGAACAACAGCAACAACAAAAACGCAAAATTAATACAAACATATATACCACATAATCAAAAAAAACAGAAAAAGAAGAATCGTCTACGTCGCCGGATGACGTCACGGCGCACGCGCGTCACGCTCTCACTACGGAAGTGCTGCTGAGGGGAAACAGCAACGGTCGCAGCTCCGGTGCCGCTCGGTTTGGACTCTAAAGGCCATCATAATGTCGGGATTTGACTCAAACCCGTTTGAAGATCCAGTCGACGTCAATCCCTTCCAGGTGAGAGACGAGCAGTTCCCAGGAGAAGCGCTTCCGAGGGGTTTCAGCTGAAGTTTAGCGGAGTTCAGCAGGGTTTGTGATGATGATGAAGGGAGTTTTGGGGCAGATGAGTTCGGCTCGGCTGGTGACTTGTCATGGTCACTGATGGCGGTAGTTAGTTAGTTGGTTGTCGCTGGTGAAGGGTGTGGATCCGCGCAGGTTTGGTGACACGCTGAAGGCCGGAGCGCCGCTCCTGTTAATGTCACAACGGTGTCTGAATGAGGCTCTGATCAGCTGTGCTCTCACTGAGGGCCGCATAATCAATGCCTCAGAAAACCCTCATATTTCTGAACACATCTGATCAGGACATGCAGGGCGGTCGTTATGCTCTCTGCACAGCGTGTTTTGTATTATTAAAGGGGTCATATGATGCGATTTCAATTTTTCCTTTCTCTTTGGAGTGTTACAAGAAATAATGCATTTTCCATTTTAAGTGAAAACAATAACAAACATGACATTCATTGTACAATGCAGAAAGGTCAGGATCTCATCTCACACTGTGGTGACAAATAACATGTTTTTTTATCAACAGTAACATTTTAGGTTAAAATGTGTGTGTGCATGTATTTTGTATGTTGCATGTATATTACATGTATTTTCTGTTGCATTTACACACATTTTTGCTTTTTTGCAGTTAATTTCAATAATCCTGCTGTGTGACAAATGCACAATTTATAAAAGTAAAAATATAGAATGCAATAAAACAACAATAATAAACAAATACTGTATATGTTGCATTATATAATAATAATGCATTATCTATTATATTATTCACATGTCAGGATTTTGACAGGGTATTGGACAAATGCACTTTTAATCAACATTAAAAGTTTTGATACATATACATTATATAAAAATGTTTTTTTTTTTTGCAGTTGACTAATAGTTCTTTAAAGCACCATTTTAAAAACAAAAATATTGCATGTAGTCTCTCGATTTATACTCATATTATAATTTAGTAATAATAATACTAATAATATTAATAATAATAATAATTTATTTAATATTATATACACATTATTATTATTGTGAAATTATAGCATGCTTAAATAATACTAACTTAACTAAATATTTCATTTAAGATTTTTAAAAATGTTTTTAAAAAGTCTATAATGCTCACCAAAGCTGCATTTATTTGATGGAAAAACAGCTGGAAACTATATCAGACTCCAGACAATGAAAGCAGAACATAGAAACTTCAATTGTACAATTTCACAAATATTACAGTCTTTACAACGTTGTGCTTTCATTGTCTGGAGTCTGATATAGTTTCCAGCTGTTTCTTCCACCTCTAATGCAGTAAATATTGAGTTGTGGACAAAGCAAACATTCCTGTGAGATACTCCAGCTCCCCTCGAAGGGAATCACAGATCTGCTGGAATACAATAATCATTCAGATGTTTAGAGACACAAGCATGCAGTGATTTGAGCACTGAGCAGTGATGTTCTGCTGAGTCTGATGCTTTACATTGTATATCGTGTTTCATGAGGTGTGGCATAATACCTGCTGATTGTTATGCCAGAAGAGAATGGCTGAAGGGAAGTGTGTGGAGAGAAGCTCATGTGCACACAGTGTTTGTCTAAGGCGGTCGATCTGCTGATAAGGAATCTGTAGTTAAAGGACCAGATATCTGAATGATCATGGGTTAATCCTCAATAATGTCATCAGACATCATTCTTGATCTGATTCAGGACATTAACATGAACTCTCTTGCAAATCTGCATGCTTAAAAGGGCCATCAGATGAATTTTTCACTTTTTTAGCTTTTTTTTTTTGCATTTAGAAAAGTTGAAAAGAAAACCCGCAGCCAGTTCGTTATGTGCCGTCTAGACTTGTGCCGGTATTCGGTAATGCGATATATCACGGTAATAAATATGCACGATATTGTTATCGTGGGCACTTCTAAATACCGTGAATAATTATATATTACAAATTATTCCGAATTTTGAATGCATTTTAAGAATACTTTTCCCATCAACTGGTCAAAATGCACAACACCGCTGTATGCTGCGTGAAAGACGCGTGCGCACTCTGATGTAAATAAGCGCGGACAAGAAGCACATGGCGGAACATGTGAGAGATGCTCTGGATGAAAGCGCACTTTCACTCTCTGACAGCAGATGGCGCTAAACTGCAGAAATGCAGCCGTTACCTGTAACCCCTGTAGAAACCCTGTAGAAACCCTGTAAACAAAGCAGCTGCACTGCTTTCTGTTTCTGAATCGTGTTTAAATGATTTAAACAGCCATTCAGATTTGTGTATTTGCTATGATGTTCATCACAGAGCCAAATACTTAAATATTTAAATGTTCAGTTATTTTTAAGAAAAAAGTTATTAAACCTGTTATACTGTATTATGACAGCACTTTTTTTTAAACGAAATTTCAATATTGTGATAATACCATATACCGTAATAAAAGCATTAGCAATTAATCGCAACATGAAAATTTGATACCGGCATACCCCTAGTGCCGTCTGAAAGTGTCAGTGAGCTGTTTCAATTTGCAGCCGGTTTCTACGTAGATAGCTAGCTATTTGAATAAGAGCACCTCCGAGACATATGTTCAGGTGTCTTGTGGCGACGCCCCACAGAAGAGAGGGGCGGGGCGAGCAGTAGCTCATTATCATTTAAAGAGACATGCACCGAAACGGCTCGCTGTGAACAGAGCTGTTTTTGACAAGGTAAAAAGGTTTTGTTTTACACGACCATTGAGGAGTTTTAACTAAAGCATATTTCAGACATTTCATGAAGACCCTAAAGAATCAAACCAACTTGTGAAAAATGGGCATCCGATGTCCCCTTTAAAAGGTTTAGTGTGTAATTTCATGTTTAAAAAAATGTCCTTTCTAATACTAATACTAACGTAATTTATCGTTAAAATACTTCTATTCTTCTATGATGTTTTGTGCTTTCTCAGATTTTAGATCTTAATAATTACATTTTTTATATTCATGATAATTCAATAGTAATAATATATTTAAAATGATTTTTTCTTAAGCTCACCAAGGCCGCATTTATTTCATGAAAATATTTTGTCATATTGTGAAATATTATTACAATTTAAATAACTATTTTAAATTTTATGGAATGATATTCCGGACAATATTCTATTGTATTTGCAATTGCGTTTTTTAATTTGTGGACGCATACATTGTGACATAATCCAAACGCAATTGCAAATTGCACATTTGTGTTTCCATTTGCTTTTCTGTGTATGTAAAAATTTTATAAGGAAACGCAAAGTCCATTTCCAACGTCTTACGAGTTATGATTCTGACGTTTTGGAATAGCAATAGAAAATCACCCACTTGCTATTTCACTTTCTCCGTGTCCTGCTCCAACCCTCTCAAGGACAATATTCAAAAGGAATGGCAAGGGTAACCCACACATTCATTCGATACATTCTTGAGTCCAGTCCAAAGTTTCCCAAGCACCCCAGTATATGACTCGTTACCACTCTGCATCCAGTCACAACAGTTTTCTGTTTGCTTCTTTTTTTCTGGTTGACAGGTGAACATAAAATCAGTTCTGGATTCTTGACTTTGTTTGAAGTGAAAAAAAATTAAATAATTAATTAATGAGCATGTTTTCATTGCAAAAATGGCCAAATTCCCCATTTTCCTCATAGGAATGAATAACGATGCTTTGTTTTCTGCCAGTAGTGGGCGTGGCATACTTTCCCACTATATCAATAAACCCCACCCTCAAGATTGATTGACAGCTGACTGTGTTACGAACTGGAAATGCAAGTGCAAAGGGGATTGCGATTCCATTTTAATTTTGTGAGGGTTGAAGCAGGACACGGAGAAAGTGAAATAGCAAATGGGTGATTTTCTATTGCTATTCCAAAATGACAGAAACATATCTCGTAAAACATTGGAAATGCAATTGCAAATTTATTTCCTTATCACAATGTATGCATCCACAAATTGAAAACACAATTGCAAATACAATTTGCAATTCCTTTAGAATACTGTCCTAAATATCATTCCATATCATTTGACATTTTAAGTGTAATCTAAGTTTTGCTGAAAATATAAAAATAATTTTTTATAATATTACAATTACGATCCCATTGAAACAATGACAATACAACAATTATTCAAACTTAACATAGTGACGTGGTTTCACTTTAAATAAGACAAAAATGTAAAAATGAGGTAATGTTACAAATGACCACAAATTTAAGCACAAACAAACTAATCTTTCTAATAAACGTAGATTCTCAATAAAATGTATTAACGTGCTCGTTTTGTAGTTCTTCTGGTCGTTGGTTCTGTTGTGATTTTCCACTGGTGTTGTAATGTCAGGTGTTGATCTGAAGTGAGTCTGAGTGTTGAACGAGAGGGATCTGGCGTGAGGCCTGTGGGAATGAGGGCAGGTGTGTTTGTCAGGACAGACCGCAGAGACACAGGCAAACAAAACTATTACATATTTCAAGTCCTCATGTCAGACTTTTGCTTACATTGTTCTGCAACTTTGCGCTGTCCGTTTGGAACGAGAACATTTTGCAGCTTCTTCTCTGAAGTTTTGCGTTCTGAAAGTTGTTTTTATAGGACAATGAATGAGGTTTCTCATGATGATCCTCTTTGATTTGTCTTGATCTTTCTGCTTTTGAGGATGAAGGAAGTTCTCTGTGTCTTTTGTCTGTTATGTGTCCCACACTGGGTAAATATTACTGTAAGTCCTGCCCTGATGGACTCATGCCACACCGGATGTGATTAATGAGTACTGAGATTCACATTAATAATCAGTCAGCATTCTCTTTCTTCTAGATGAATCTACATGCATTTTGGACAAATATTGAGATTGTGCTGTTCTCGTCTGCCTGTATCAGAGAATAGCTAAAACTTGAACACCTTGGCATATGGATCGAGTTTTGCATGGGCAAGCAACTCTTAAATTTTCTTCATATCATGTAAAAATTAAGCTCAGATGCTTCAATATATTTCCTGTTATGACTGAATATCTCGCATCTGTGGCTGCTGTGGTTTGAAATTAATGGACAATATGAGCTAAATTAGCGAGTAAGGAAGGATCTGTGCTGATTTCAGGATTTTGGTTCCTCGTTTTTGACCACAGAGGCATCTAAAATATTGTCAGATGATTGTGACCTATTTAACTCTCTGGGATGATGTAATTGAGGCATGCGAGTCAAAACCTGTGACGCATCATATACCATGCTTTCAGCTGCTCTGGATCCATGAAGTAATAATAAAAAATATTATATTAAATATCAGGGCCTAACAACTTAACCCAAACTTAAATTTAATTGCTATTTATTTTTAAATAGATGATCAACACTCAACTTAAAAAAAAAAAAAAAAAAAATTCACACACACACACACACTATAATAATTGCTATTGTTAAATAATAAACAATTGTTTAATAATTATTGTTTAATAATAATATCAATAATAATAGAGTTAATCTCTTTCAGGATCCGTCTGTCACTCAGGTGACCAACTCTGGAATCGATCACATTGAAAGTTTCACTCCATTTCCTGATGGCAACTCTGTGACGGTGAGTCTAGTGAACATTATTTCAGTGATTGTGTAAGATGAGTAGATTGAGCCAGTTGTGCTCTGAACTCTAATGCAATAAAGCAATAAGCTACTCGAGACCATGAGCTCCGCTGATTTTACCACGGTTAAAGTCATTCGTTCCACTGTTTTATATCTCAAGAAATAAATAAAAAGGATAGGCTAAATGTTCCAACAGTAGTATCATACAAAATACCAATGTTTTGTGTTTTATTGTCAATTAAAATCCTAATAATTCACGGTCTTTCGGTCAGGGAAGCACCATCCCAGCCTCCAGCGCTCAACCTGCTGTCCTGCAGCCATCAGCGGAGCCCAGTCCACAGGTCAGAGTCTCACACACACAAAAGTGCCGCATCTCTGCATGTTTTTGAAGGTTGTAATCGGCCCGTGTGTGTCTCTGCAGGCCACGGCTGCAGCTGCGCAGGCCAATCTGCTCAAACAGCAGGAGGAGCTGGAGAGGAAAGCAGCCGAGCTGGATCGACGAGAACAAGAGCTGCAGAGCAGAGGAGCGCCGGCAGGTAACACACACCACTCTGCTTCTGCTGTATGTGATGACGTGCTAGATTTGCATGAGGTACAGTATCCCACGATGCAATGCATCTGACTTCACCTTGCACTTTCAGTGTGATTAATAATCTAATAGTAATACTAATTACATCCAAAACTTTTATGCTCTTGATGCATAATTTAATCAGACTGGCACATACAAACTAAAATGTAAGATAACTGGATGCCATTTACTGAATTAAACATGCAATGTTATTATTGATAAACTATTATAGTTTTTGTTAATATTTTGAAGTAGATTTTATTTTTTTATATTCTTTGTTTTCATTTTAATTTTATTTGAAATTTTTTGTTTATGTAATTTTTATTAGTTTTTGTTTAAATATGTCTATATCATTTTGTTTTGTTACATTTTAGTTTTAGTTTTAATAATAATAATAATAGTATATAGTTAATATTATAGTTAATTAAAACTAAAACCATAAAAAAAAATCTTTATTTGAAATTTCAATTAAGTAAAATAAAATATAATAAAAATGATTATAAGCTTATTTTATTTCAGGTAGTTGCCAAGGCAGCATTTCTAATTTTCAAACTAGATCTACTAAAATAATTAAAACTGAAATAAAAATGGTTTTAAAACATTTTAAAACACGCAACAAAATTACTAAAACTCTACCTTAAATTAAACATTAAAAAAACAATAAAATAAAATACATAAATAAAACATTTTTTATTATTAATAAAAACTATAATAGCATCTCAACAATACTAAAATAAGATTGGTTTGAGTTATTGTAGTACTTTAACTTCAACTAAAAGAAAATGAGGTTTGTCTTGTCATTAAAAATTGCCTTGTCAACTAGCTGAAATAGAATAAGTTTTAATATAATAAAATATTATTTAATGGTAATTAAATAAAACATTTTTTAAATGTTTTAAGATCAATTGAATCTCTTAAATCAAATGAATGATTATTAATTTATTGATTATTATTTAAAGTAATGAAAATGTCTTTTAATGGTTTTCAACTGGCGCATACAACTTTTACAAATAATAATATACAGTATAAATACATGTACAGTATATACTGCTCAGTATGCTAATATTCCATTCTGAGTTTGTTTACACTTATCTTGATTAATTCAGTTGCATAAATCAACAGACTGTAGCGCCTTTGTACAGTATATACTGCTCAGTATGCTAATATTCCATTCTGAGTTTGTTTACACTCATCTTGATTAATTCAGTTGCATAAATCAACAGACTGTAGCGCCTTTGTTTGTTGTTACTGTTTGACAAGCTGCTGCTAAGGATTGTGGGATATGGGCGTCTGTCTCACCTCACACTTGTTCTCTTCAGGCAAACAGAACAACTGGCCTCCTTTTCCCAAGTTCTTTCCCATCAAGCCTTGCTTCTACCAGGACTTCTCTGAGGAGATCCCGCAGGAACATCATAGACTCTGCAAAATGATCTATTACCTGTGGATGTGTGAGTTTACAGGCCTCTGATGCTTCTGTCAAAATGATGCGATTTAATTTGGCATACACTGCCGGTCAAAAGTTTGGGATCAGTAAGACTTGTAATGTTTTTTAAAGACGTGTCTTCTGCTCGTCAAGGCTGCATTTATTTGATCAAAAATACAGAAAAAAACAGTAATCTTGCAAAATGTTATTACAATATAAAAAAATGGTTTCTATTTTAATATCCTTTAAAATATAATTTATTTCTGTGATGCAAAGCTGAATTTCCATCAGCAATTACTCCAGTGTAAAGTGTCACATGATCCTTCAGAAATCATTCTAATATGCTGATTTATTATTAGAATTATCAACAGTTGTGCTGCCAAATATTTTTTTGGAAACTGAGATACTTTTTTCAGGATTCTTTGATGAATAAAAAGTTAAAAAGAAGAGCATTTATTTAAAATTTAAATATTTTCTAAAGATATAAATCTTTGCTATCACTTCTGATAAATTTAACACATCCTTGCTGAATAAAAGTTTTAATTGCTTTCAAAAAAAAAGAAAGAATAAAAATTTACTGAACCCAAACTTTTGAACGGTAGTGTATATTGTTAGAAAATATTTATATTTTAAATAAATGCTCTTCTTTTTAACGTTTTATTCATCAAAGAATCCTGAAAAAAAGTATCACAGGTTCCAAAAAAATATGAAGCAGTAACAGCACTGATAATAAATCAGCATATTAGAATGATTTCTGAAGATCATGTGACACTGAAGACTGAAGTATTGATTCTGAAAATTTAGCTTTGGCATTGCAGCAATAAATTACATTTTAAAATGTATTAAAATAGACAAGTTATTTTAAATTTTTTTCTGTATTTTTGATCAAATAAATGCAGCCTGGATGAGCAGAAGAGACTTTTTTAAAAAACATTACAAGATCCCAAACTTTTGACCGGTAGTGTATTCCTGGTTTTATTTTCAATGTTGTCCCAAGTAATCAAAGCAATCTTTCATCAAAATAATAACTTGTCCAATCAATTCTCATTTAACACGAGAAGCACAAGATTTCCATCATCGTTCACAATAATAAAAGCTAGGACAGGAAGAAACGGTGAAAGAGAGTGATTTTGATCACGAGTCGCCGCTCATTTACCGACCGCAGGCTTCTGGACGGGATTTTAGTATTTTAACTTCAACTTATTTTATTTCTGTTAGTTGCCAAGGCAGCATTTCTGATTTTTAAATTCAAGCTTTTAAGTTTTTAAGTTTGAGTTTAACATTCATCTATCATTTATATTTTATTTTTAACTTTATTTTAGTTACCCAAAGTGATTTTTAATAGTTTTTACTAACTCTTTTTAAACATATTCCTTATTTTGAATGTTCCAAGTAACTTATTATTAAGTTAAGCTCATAATAATATCATCATAATTATAACTTTTCAACATTCAATCAATTTTCAGTTCTCATTTTATTTTATTGTTGAACACAAACAGTATTATTTTAGTATTATTTCTATACTATTATAGTTTCTGTTTTCACGTTTCGTTTTAATTATAGTATTTTTAAATATAAAAATACAGTATTTTATAGTACTTTTTAGTAATTTTATACTGTGCTCTTGTCATTTTTATTATATATATTTTTAAATAA